GGGATTGATCGTGACGCCAAATGCTGTGTCCAAGAGCAGACGCTTCCTCCTCGCGTTATCCGTTCTATTGATAGTGCGCGTCTGTGGTTCTGCGTGTTCTGTCTGATTTAGGCTATCGCGGCATGCGAGGAAGGGTGGGGGTATTCGATGATGTGATATGGAGTTCAATGACACCACAAAGAAATGCAGCAGAGTGACATCTCTCCGGTTTCCGACCGAGAAGTCTCTGTGACCAATGTGGGTCCGAGCAGATCGACACGAACGCTGCCTCCCAGCGTCCGCGTTGTGCTAGCAAGTGGTTTGCACGGTACTAGAAAACAAAACCTACCAAATAATTTTGTTGCTGAAGCAGCGCCTGCGTCTTCCTGTCGGCGGATCGCGAATGCAGGCGCCCAGGGTGCCCCGGCATCGCCTCCGGGGGGACCCCGGAGGCGATGCCGGCGGATCAGTTGCGAACTGCCAATCGTCTGAAATCTCGTAATGAAAATCTTGAACCATTTGCTGGCCAGTGCTTGACGCAGCCAAGCTGGATCAATCGTAGTCCGTTATTTCTCACCTACGACCGCGACGGCCTTCTGGCAATTCTGACGCTAGACGATACAGGCCCAAGCTGCCCGTATGCTGATGTTCATACATCTGACGTCTCAATAAGATAACGGACTAGTAAAGCTGCAGGTTAGTTTCAGTTTCGATTTTATTGTAGTTCTGCAATTAAACTTTACTGTGTTCTCGTGAAATGTACTCGCTGTTCTTGGCTCAGTTTCTTGTGCTGTTTTTTGAAAATAACTTGAATTGAAAACATTCAAATTGACGCCGGATCTCGCCTCTAAAAGTTACAATATAATGAGGCGATGTTTCTTAAATTAATCATACAGCATTAATGTGGCAAGGGTACGTAATAACAATAACTTTAATTTCTCCAGCGGAGTAGGGGACAGAGAAAAAAAGACGCTGTAGCGACTTGACGATGTCTCTACCCCCTTACAGTCAGCAAGATGGAATGCAGCGTGAAAAAACAACACAAAAATAAATAAATATAAAAATAAGTGACTACAAAAATATATAAAGATGCAACAAAATAAGCATACAAAAAAAGCAAGTGCAAATTGTAAAAAGTGCAAAACACCGGGTAATTAAATAAACAATAGAATAACAAGTTTAAAAGCACGCTATGCATACATATAATACATTAAAATGCGTTTTACAGGGGTAAGAAATAAAGAGGTTATAATATTCACAATATCAAAAAGAAAATAAATTAATCACACAATTAGTAATTCAGCACAGTTTTCTGCCTATCATTTCGATAGGGTCGTCGAAATAAACCCGGAAAATTAATTTTATTCAGGAAACACACAGAGGCAAAAGTAACATTTATATCGACCGTCTTTTTTTTTTTTTTTTTTTTGTGCTTTCCTCGGTCTGCAGTAACGACTTCCTGGCTGACAGATTATCTGAACGTATTGGCAATTCTGTAAACTTTTGTCTTCTTGTAGCCATACCGCGCAATGATTCACTTATGAGACTTTCCGGTGTGAAGCGATTCAAGTATTGCTGGCCTCCAGTGTTATTTCCTGTACATTTCTGCGCAAGTCGCGAACTGTTTAGCATCAACAGTGATGGTCCGCTGTCGAATCACGTGGCCGCAGAATCGCAATACAGCCGGTTAGCTTCGCCCTATTGTTGAGAAGCAAAATCTGAAAAAGTCTGGATTTATCTTGACGACTTAGATAGAGATCAATGCTGCTATAGTTGATTTCGCAGAAAGCGCTTCTGGTGTTATGGTATGTTCTACTAACACATTTAGTAAGACAGATAGGTTATACGTAATTATTTGCTTATCATGAGATGATCTGCAGAATGGGATGTTCAAGTTTTCTGTATGTCAATTGCTCTACCCTGAAATGTTTCTTCTGAGATTTAATAAATCAAGGATAGCAAGGTTATTAGTTTTGACCGTCGAATTATAGAGTGATAGAGGTCTGTATTTGAAGAGTAAATTAATTTTTAGTATTTTGAAATATGTAAAATGAGTGTTTGTGTGAGTATACCACGGAAAATTTACGATAGTTCGTATGATTTTCTTTAGAGTGAGTATCATGGTACAGAGGTTGTGTTGAGTCGTTGTACGCCATATTGGTGGCAGAATGTTAGGTCCGGCAATATGAATGCATTTTATAATGTTTTTGTGTTACGTTTATTGTTATAATGTATCGATATTTCTTTAGTACATCATTCGCCTTGTTAATGTTTCAACGAATGTGGTATACATGATGGCCCCAGGCTATATTCCCGGAAAAAACACCAAGAGACCTGACCACGCAATTTTAGTTTGATTAGTATACAGATAGATATGGGCAGTGATATTTATTGGTTTGTTATAAGATCGAACAATGATAGTCTCCGTTTTATTTACGTTTATGATGAAAAAAGTATCAGTCAATCCTTTTAATAACGCTAATGCCGAGTTTGCAGAAGTGATTAGTTGATTAGAACCCATAAAAAATAAGCTATTGTCGTCAGCACATATGTAATGAGCTGTTTCAGAAAAGTTTAAAAGGTTTATTATGTAAAGATTGAATGAAAGGGTCCAAGAATGTTAGCCTGGGGTAGTTCTGGTGTAGTAATATTTGTAGATGATAAAAATAATCATAAAAAACACACTGTTTTCAATCAAGGAAGTAGGTAGGCTTTAATCAAATCAGCTGCTTGTCTCTTAATTCCGTATTTTCTACTTTTTTTTTAGTAATATTTTATGATTTATGTGGTTAAATCCACAAAAAAGTTCAAGAACATACTTTCTATCCTCAAATAGCTTAACAATCCTCTCTTTTTGATATAACAACGCAATTTCCGTGCATTTAATTTTTTTTAAACAAAATCCAAAGTCAGATATAATATTATGTTTATCTAAAAAATATGTGTTATTCTTACATGCATAATCTGCTCAAGACCTTTTCAAAACGGGCAGAATAGATATGGGTCGGTAATTTGATCAATTACATTCATCACCACTTTATGCACAACGGAATTATTTTAGCGTGTTTTATTTTTTTATGGGAAGTGACAGTTTTGATCACCTTATTGGGTATGTAGGTTAATACTGGAGTAAGTAAATCTATGACAAATGTGATTGGCTTTATTTTAAATCTGTTAATATCGACACTTTTGCTGTTATTGAAATATTAAAAAAGTGAAAGCCGTTTACAACTTCCTGTAACGCCGAATTGGAGCGCAGCTCTTGAGGAGGAGGAGTGGAGGGTATATTCCTCCTCCTCCCTCGTGATCATGCCTGCTAGTCCTCCTCGCCTCCCGCTCCCACTCCCTCTCCTTTACCACCTCCTCGTCCTTCAAGCTCCTCCCCCCCCTCGCCTCCGGCTCGTCGTCTCTCCTCCCCCCTCCTCCACCTTCGCACTGCTTTCCTCCTTGCCGCTCAAGCCGGACAATGAGGGGAGGAGGAGGAGAAGGAGGGGGAGGAGGGGGAGGAGGAAGAGGGGGAGGAGGAGGGGAGGGGAGAAGGGGGAGGAGGAGGAGGGGAGGAGGAGGGGGAGAAGGAGAGGGAGGAGGAGGAGAGGGAGGGGCGCGGTTACGCCGACGCCGACGGCGACGGAGGAGGAGGGGAGGGGAGAAGGGGGAGGAGGAGGAGGGGAGGAGGGGGAGAAGGAGAGGGAGGGGCGCGGTTACGCCGACGCCGACGGCGACGGCGACGGCGACGCCGACGCCGACGGCGACGGCGACGCCGACGCCAACGGCGACGCCGCTCAGGCTGGAAACGGGCCCCTAAGAGCTGCGCTCTAAAACATAATAGTCGTGATTTCAACTTCTCTGCTAGGGAAGAAAAAAAAAGATTCGTTTAGATAGGAAGGAAAGAGAGTAGTATCCAGAGATTGGGTTATTGGAAATCGGCCCCCTTTTACAAGACTAAAAAAAGTTGTTAAATGCATTAGCAAGTACTACTCCAGATGTCGCCATGCTATTTAGAATTATTTTTTAATTTGTTTTTAGGCTAAAGGGTACAGAAGTCTATTAAGCTCTTTTCATAGAATATCACTTCGTTTAGTCGTTAGTCGTTTCCGCATTGAAGTTTGTTGTAATATTTTCTTTTTGCACGTTTCAATTGTGTATTCAATTGGTTTCCATAAGACTTAAACGTTTTTAGAAAATTCAAGTGTTTGGTTTTAATGAACTGTTGGAAACTGTGCTTTTGATTCCAATCATATCCAATAATGGAAAAAAAAAACAGGGTTTGCGACCTTTTTTTTATTTTCGGTATAGACGTCAAAAATGAGTCAAAACATTTCAAACTCAGCGCTTAATTTTGCCTCTAGATACTAGAACCTTCGGAACAAGAACCAGCGCTATATCCCAGCGTGCCATTGTTTCTCAACTGCAGCAACATGGCGGCTATATCGCACATGTGTACGCAAGAAAAACAGCGCTGAGCTGCACGTTTTTTTTTTTTTTTAGTGTGTTAAAGAACGTGAAACCGAGAAAGCGCAATAAAGAAATAATTGAAGCGTACGGTGAAAGCTGTATGCCAAGAAAAGCAGTGTATAATTAAACGGATGAGCATCACTGTCGTCCAGTCAAGACAGACAGTCCTAAACGAGGCCACAACATACAGTTTGTGGATAATATAAGCCGGTGCTGACCAAAATGTATTGATAGACGTCGTAGCCGTTGTGTACGTTGCTCCCATAGTCCTTCTACAACATCACGCCCGAACGGCTAAGATTCTACCAAATATTTATTTACATTTCGCTTTGCGACCGATATATCGAATTTATCTGGTAGATGGATCCATATTTTTTATTATTCCGCGCCAAGCAACAACAGGATGCATTTTCCAAGATTCAATTATCGTACAGTTAAGAAAAGCGACGCGGTGAGTCAGTATGGTACACTCGTGCAACGTTACCAAGCGTAGAGAAGAGCAGAATGTGGCGGGCACATCTCTACTAATTACTCTCGACGCATCGCATCCTGCTGTCGTTGCTCACCTTGGGGTCGCAGCCGGAGGAGTGAGCGCGACTGCACTTGCACGGCCTGCTGCAACCGGGGCCGTGGGTGAAAGCCGCACAGGGCAGGTTGCAGTGGCGTCCGTGCCACCCCGGTGGACACTCGCAGTGACCGAAGTGGCGGTGGCACCTTGCACTCGGACAGTCGTCAGGACACCTCCGATTGCAGCGAGGGCCGAAGAAACCTGGGCAGCGAGGTATAGGCTGTTACCGATGTCGGATCTCGCTGAAACAATTGACGCCTCCACGCGGCAACCCCAAATTTTCATGAAGGGTGTATTTTGCCTTGTTCAATTTTAAGGCGTAGTTGTTGTTCCGCGCAAAATGAAACCGACAGCCTTGCCACGGTCAGCGGCAGCCCACGACGCAGACGAACGAGGTAATGAAATAGCGGAGCAAGTAGACGACGCGCACAGCGAGCAGACGACACGGCCTACTGAGCAGACGAGTATACTTTTGTATGTTAGTGTGACTGACTCGGAAGAAGAAGCGCCAATCTACTTGTGCAAAAAACAAATGTCAGACAGCTTGTCCCAGGGCTCACACCCTAAGGGTGTTACACCAACACATACGGCTCTCAGATACACGGAAACAGCAAATACAGGCGTAATTGATCACGCACGAGAGAGGAATCATAAGTTATATTGACTGTTCTCCCGCCTTATACACTCGAAATTTCAAACATTCTCATTCGAAGGTGTACCGCTTCCACAATTGCGAAGATTACAAGTGCGTTGACTTGTTCTCGCCAATATTGCGGGTAATGCGTAATATATCGAAGTTCAAGGAATATATAAATTAGTAAATAAATAAGAAATAAAGTAAGAAGCATCGGTAGAGGCAAGAATTATTCGAGATTGTTGATAAAACAACCTCAACTAAAGCAAGCGTCAGTGCGGCTCTCCAAAACGGTGCTCGCCCTTTTTGAAGGGTTAACACCCTTTGTGCTATTCCTCACTTCACCGTAGCAACTTTTCATATGCTTTTACACTTTTTAAAAATGAAGGGTTTTGAATGCAGCAGCACCCCATTTCATAAGTGCAAAGAGTGTATGAGGTCGAAATAAGGGTGCTGCAATATGATAGTCATGGCTGTCTCTGTAAGAGCATTTGACGCCCCATGGTGTAAACATTTTTAATTTGAGTGATTTCCACCGGCTTCAGCGATTATAGTGACCGACAGACAGCTCTAGAAAAAGAGGGCATGGCGGTCACTTTATTATATATGCGTAGCCAATGAGGTTGCTGCATTAGTCGATGAAAACGCCGAAAGACCAATCACGAAGCAAAAAGCGTGAACATGACACTGACTCTATGTTCGCACCCAGAGGGATGCTCTCTGTTAGATCCGGAAAGCGTACTAAAGTTTTATGATGGATGCTGAGAAATATGTTGTACTCGTTTCATTCAACCAGTGTAACCTTTTTGCGCGGAATATGTTGGCGTCTCGTCAGGGTAAGAGCGCCTTTTGTTTCTCATCCATGCTGTACCAGACCAAGGCTGTCGCGGATGGTGTCGATCAAATTTTTGACTTACCGAAGGGACAGACGTCATCGCAGCGGTGCCGGCCACGTGAGTCTCGGGCGCAGGTGCAGCGTCCCGTCTTGGGATGGCACGCGGCGTCACTTTTGCACAAGCACTTTTCCTCGCAACCGGCACCGTATGTCCCCTATAGGAGAGAAACAACATCGAAAGACTCGTAACTCTTTAAAACGGATCGTTGTGGTTTAGCGGCGCAAATTGTTGAATACCCGAAAACTGAAGTTCAAGCAGTCATTGGAATTTATTATATCCGTCTTTTCTTGCCTTTCGGGCGCATCGTTGACAGTACTATAACTGAGCTCGCCTGCTGTATCCGCCTCTGTTGCTCATTCTAGTTTATTGCGCGCTGTATTTTTTTGCACAAACATCAAGACAGAGCCATGCGCTATCATAATTAGTTTTTTTGTTGTTTTTTTTTGTTTGCCTTATACAATGTAAGTGCTTTAATAGACATCGTTTGAGCAGATGCATGCCGCACCCGTACCTTGAGACAAGTGTCGTTGCAAAACGCTCCTCGGTATCCAGGATGACAGCGGCAGGTCTTGGCGAGGGAATCGCACTTTCCCTGCTGACAGTCCGCGCACGCGTACTGGCACTCTTCACCAAAGAAACCTGGCGTGCATTCTGCGGCATAGAAACAAGCATAAAAGCAGGGCATGCATGTCTATGAATGCTACCAGAACACAGACAGCTTAAAAGTACCGCGAGGAGGTTTCTGAGATTGCCTAAATATTGCGATAACTCACCCTGCTGGCTCTAAGCGTCCTATAAATCCCTAAATTATGACAATACGCGACTGATGTTCCTTCTAAAAATGCAATTCAAGATCGCAACACACCGAGGTTATGTTCCGAAACCAGGACCACTGTCAGTCAATGCGGAGCGCAAGTTCGTCTGCTTCCTTTGCAAGTGTAGTTGTGACACCAGAACGCCGAGCTGTGATTGGATCCGATTCAAAGATAGTGGGTAAACCTTAAGCCAACTCTGTTTTGAGGTCTACCCACTGTCCTTTAATATGAGTCAATCAGAGCTCGGCCTCTTTCTGACGTCACCGTACCTACTGTGCAACAAGCAGACGACTTGCTCTCCGCATAGCGAGCGAAGGATCTTCGCGCCTCCAACCGGTGGAACCGCGGAGTGATATCTCGAATGCGCACGGCTCATTGCCCATGCAGCCCAGAATACGAATCAACCCAGCGAGCGCGCTCGGGAGCTGACGACCGGACACATCACTCCCGGAAAAGACAAAAAAAAAAAAAAAAAGAAAAAAAGAAGCATATAGTGCGTTGTTTCTGAGACGATTATTGCAGTATTTGAACCCTCTCCACGAACAATAAAATTTTTGACTACAGTTATTTACTTTTGTTATATACAAAAACAGACACATTTTTTTTTAACAGCGTTTGCAGTCTCAGCAAAATGTTGCGTGTTCATTGGTCCTGGCTGCCGGAACAATGCTAATCCCATCGCCGGAGATGACTTCGGTGTGTTACATCTTTGATTGCTATTTTAATAGGGTAATCGACCGCGTATCGTCATGATTTATGAATTTCTAGGATGCGTTAAAGCCAGCAGATTGAGTATCGCCATATTTAGGCGATCTCAGAAGCCTCCTCAGGGCTCATTTAAGAATCGCAAGGCGGGTCGAGATCTTGGCGTCGTACTGTCGCTGCGTTGCCAATGAGATGGCGGCATTAGTCAATAAGAACGCCAAAAACAAATCACAAAGCGAGAGAAGCGCAAGCATGATAAGCCACGCCCTGCTTTCCTAAAGCTGCAAGTGACTAGTCTGCAATAAAAAATCCTATGCAAGTTTAATTTCATGCATAGCCTGGAAACAGCTAGTCACGGCTAACAATAAAGGAACGCAAGCGAATGATGAAGCTCAGCATATAATTAGATTTGAAAAACTGTGATGTGTTCAGGCACAATGATCGAGTGAAACGTTAGGCTGATCATCCCTGTGCACGAGGCAGTTTTTTCCCCTTGTCGTATAGCAAGCTACGTCATTCGCTGGGATACTCCTCTTGCTCAACGTAATTGACTGTATCCGTGTTTCGCAGCAAAGTGAGCTCACGTACTATTTTTAAAAGTGTATTTCCACTACATGAACATACGAAAAACACTATTCGCAAACCGTGTTCTTGAACTTATTCCGATGAACTCAGGAGTCCATATAAGGCGAGTGAACCTGCCCACAGAAATGTGTGCGCTGACCTCATTGCTAAAGTTGCTTTAGAATATGACTCAATCCACCGTTGCAACACGGATACGACGGGCCGTCATATAAGACCTTCCAGCTCGGCATCCCACCAAGATCATCCTTCAGTAGACAAGGCCAGAGGGTGAGGCTCAGCATAGGAAGATTATTCAGGACTCTGTCCTGGAATTTATTCGAGGCGTTAGTATTAAACAGCGCTTTATACATTTTCATCTCCCCCCCCCCCCCCCCAATCCTTAAATGAGGCTAAGGTAGTGAAAGTATGTTTATTCAAAAACCTACCAGACAAAAAAAAAATGTATATGTCTCGACAGCACGAGCGGGAGCACCTGCGGCACACCTAGAAGCTCCTGTATGTGCTGAACACCGCGATGCACTCGAAGCACCGATTACTGGCCTGTCCTTAGTCCGTTTAGCCATTGACAGGGCCAAGCGGAATTGTAGTCTGGTGATGAATCTGGTGATGTGGTCTCAGGGGTCAAGAAAGATAAACGCACTCCTGCCAGTGAAATGGTTATTGGAGCGTGAATGCGATCGTCCTTCTCATCAACTGAACTGATCAAAAGGGGGCATGCAACATGTCTCAGATAACAAAGGCGTAGTGCCCGGTTGTACACGTCACCAACCGGAAGCCAGCGCAAGACACAGACAGGACAAGAGGGCTGCGTTCTAGAGCATCGTTCTAGAGCGAGAAGAGGCTGAGAAGCCAGACGCATCGTTATTATCCTGCTACCGAAGTATGGCTTAACTGACGTCATCATCACAGTCCTCCCCTTTTTAATATTAGTTCTTATTGACTAAAACTAAAACCCAGAGAAAAAACATGATAACTCTTTATGGTTTGTGATGCTCCACTTGCTTTTTTGTTCGCGTTGACCGACGGATTCATGAACTTCTCTGAGTTGTAAGCAAGGGCTTTGAAGATCCTCTATCAAAGTCCACAGCAGTACCTTGTCTCGGAGAGCTATCTTCGACGGGTGCGGATGTAGAGGGCTTTTTGTCAGTAAATGCACGTGCTTTTAGTCGTTCAGCGGAAAACTTGGTGGACCCATGGAAATTTCTCCCTGCAGACCCATTCGGAAGGCGATGTTCTCGACGATAAACACCGGGACAGGTTCAGCGGGTACTGCCACTAGTTCCTCTTGCACAGATGACGAACTTGTTGGCCGCAGCACAGCTCCAGCAGTCCACGTATGACCAGTTCTGACATTTCGGTCAAAAACAGTCTGTTGAAGGCTGAGGAAGTGTTTTCTCGCGCGCTGTTAGATCACAGCTAAACTTTTGTTTTAGCTGTCTCAAGACCACTTCACTCCACATGTTCGAAAGCATCAGGTTCAGGGCTGTCTATAGCTCCCTACCCACGACCATCTTGACCGGACTGTGAGCGAAGGTGTCGTGTTCCTGTACACGCGAGGAGCGTTCGATCAATCTTGGTTTGAAAATATTCAGGGGATGCTTTCATCAGCATTCTTTTCACCGTTTGTACAACGCGTTCCGCAACACCATTTGACGCTGAGTGGTAAGGCGATATCAGAGTACTGTGAATTTCATTGGAGTCACAAAAGACTCGCTGCAATTGTCGCTTACGAAATGGCGACCGTTGTCCGAAACAACGATATGCGGTAGTCCAAGCTCCAGAAAAAATATTTTGGAGGCACTTGATCGCAACATCAGCCAGAGGGGGATTATAACAGAATAACTTCAACCCACCTAGAAAATACGTCGACTAACACAAGGAACAATGATCCCGGAACGGTCTCCCAAATTGAGCATGTAGGTGCGACCATAGTCCTTCTGAAAAAGGCCATGCAATCGACTGTACGTTTTGATCGGAACAGTTATGTTCTTGGCATTCATGACAATGTAAAACTTTTGCCGTAATTCTGTCGTCTAAACCATCCCAAAACAATATGGCTATATGCGATGGTCTTAATTTTCTACTATCATATATGGCGTTTTTGCAGTAAATATAACATTTGCTTTTGCCGCTTTTTTCGATTTGTTTATATTTTAAGAGCGAGCTATCTTCCTGAACGCTGAGTTCAGTCAGCTTTGCTGGAAACGGCAACCACGGCGGACCTCCTGGGGGGTCGCTACCAGAGCATTGTGTATTTCTCACTCGTAACAATACTAGGTCGGTTCCGGAACGTTGCACAACGACTGCAGCAGAGAGAGCCAGGAGGTACGACTCTTCCAGCATACAAACATCAGCTTGTCTCGAAACCTATAGGTTGTTTATGGCCAATGGTAAACGATTTAAGGCATCGGCGTTGCCTATGCTAGAGACGAGCCCGTAAACAAGCTTGCACTCGTACGTTGCTAGCCTAACTGTCCAACGTATCACTCGTGGTCATCTTCTCTCTGGGATGAATTTGTCAGAGCCCAAAACTCAACGAAAGGGTTGTGATCAGTAATGGCTCTAAACTCATTGCCCCAGATGATGAAACTTCGTCGCTTCGGAGAGAAACACCGTCTTTCTTCTACAGATGGTTGTAGTTCTGCTCACCTATCAGCTAAGACAATCCCATTCTTTAGACTGAAGTGCTGCAGCATTTTAGCAGATGTCAAGAGCTCTTTGCTGTTCTAAAATGAATTCTCCTCTTGTTCCTACCACCGGTGACACAACGGTTGAAAAAATTAAAACCATTTAGGAACAAAACGCCGGTAGCTGACAAGAACAAAATATAATTTAAGCTGCTTGGGGTCAACTGATTGTGGGGCATTCATGACAGCTTCAACTTTCTGTGGTGTTGGTTACAGTTCTCCGCGTATTGCCATCATTATATCGTCAAAATCCACGACGACATGGGCCATGTCGTGCAGCAGGTTGTCCATATCTCTCTGAAAGATTGCAAGGGCTGAGGACACTTCGATTTGTAGTCCGGTGTATTGAAACAGACCTTTCAGGGTTTGAATTGTGTCAAGCTTTTGGCACTCGGGATCGAATTTCACCCGTTGGAACACGTCCTTCATGTCCACCTTGGTGAACTTCCTCAAAGTTTGGCCCATAAATGTTTAAATCTTGGAACTGCGCACTCCTCAACAATGAATGCGGGATTCAAAGTGACCTTGAAGCTCCCGCACATCCTTATACAGCCGTCGCTCTTCATGATAGGAACAATGGGTGCTTCCCACCCACTCCGATGTTCTTACCGGACGGGTGGTTCCGTCACGAACCGCTGCAGTTTGATAGCAACCTTGTTCTGTAGCGCAAAACAAAATGCTGCGACGTTTGAAGAACGTTGGATTTGATCTTTTTTGGCCTGGGATCTTTGTTTTCGCACGTTTAAGCCCGCCTAGTTCGTCAGAAAAAATAACTTACTTGTGCTTTCTCAGCAGTGCGTCAACACTGGGAATGGAAGTATATATTGGCCAGGCTCCTTTCGAGGCCGCTCGTCTAGTT